CGCCCCCCTCCCGGCACCACCGCCCGCCCGCGGCTCCGGGACCCGGCACTGGGAACAGCGGGAGCGCCAAGTTCGGGCAGCGGGAGCAGCACCGCGGAACACAGGGAGCGTGTGGACCGAGCACCGGGAGCGCCACGACCGAGCACCGGGAGCCGTCCCGCTTCGCACGGTAGATCGGGGCACCGGGAGCCGTCCCGCCGGGCACGGGGAGCCGGGAGCGGGCAGCGGGAGCCGTGCGGGCGGCGCCGGGTACGGGGGATCCGGGYACCGGGAGCCGTCCAGGAGAGTATCCAGTCACCGGGGGTCGTCCAGCCAGCACCGGGCACGGCAGAGCTGATCGCCGAGAGCCGTCGAGGCAGCGCCGGGCACGGYGGATCAGGCCACCGGGAGTCGTCCAGGCGGGACCCGAGGATATCCAGCGCCGGGCACGGCAGATCTGCTCGCCGGGAGCCATCCGGGCCGCCCCGGGCACAGCACACCCGGACGGCAGCACCGGGCGCTGGGCTGGGCACCGGGCACGGTAAATCGGGGCGCACGGCTCGGGGCACCATGGGTCCCCCCRGCGTGCTGCCCRCCCTGGCCTGGCTGCTGSTGGGGCTGAGCATGCCGGCACCGTGCCGGGCCCAGCTGCATGGCGAGAAGGGCATCTCCATCCCCGACCACGGCTTCTGCCAGCCCATCTCCATCCCGCTCTGCACCGACATCGCCTACAACCAGACCATCATGCCCAACCTGCTGGGGCACACCAACCAAGAGGACGCGGGGCTGGAGGTGCACCAGTTCTACCCGCTGGTGAAGGTGCAGTGCTCGCTGGAGCTGAAGTTCTTCCTGTGCTCCATGTACGCACCRGTGTGCACGGTGCTGGAGCAGGCCATCCCTCCGTGCCGCTCCATCTGCGAGCGGGCGCGCCAGGGCTGCGAGGCCCTCATGAACAAATTTGGCTTCCAGTGGCCGGAGCGGCTGCGCTGTGAGAACTTCCCCCGGCATGGTGCTGAGCAGATCTGCGTGGGCCAGAACCACTCGGAGGACGGCGGCTCGCCGGCGCTGCTGACCAGTGCCACGCCGCTGGCCGGCCAGGGCACCCCCGGCGCCCCCCGCTACGCCACCCTGGACCACCCCTTCCACTGCCCRCGGGCGCTGAAGGTGCCCAGCTACCTCAACTACAAGTTCCTGGGTGAGAAGGACTGCGCGGCGCCCTGYGAGCCCGCCCGTCCTGACGGCCACATGTTCTTCAACGAGGACGAGATCCGCTTTGCCCGCATCTGGATCCTCATCTGGTCCGTCCTGTGCTGTGCCTCCACCTTCTTCACCGTCACCACATACCTGGTGGACATGCAGCGCTTCCGCTACCCCGAGCGCCCCATCATCTTCCTCTCGGGCTGCTACACCATGGTGTCGGTGGCCTACATCGCCGGCTTTGTGCTGGAGGAGAGGGTGGTCTGCAACGAGCGCTTCCAGGAGGACGGCTACCGCACCGTGGTGCAGGGCACCAAGAAAGAGGGCTGCACCATCCTCTTCATGATGCTCTACTTCTTCAGCATGGCCAGCTCCATCTGGTGGGTCATCCTCTCCCTCACCTGGTTCCTGGCCGCYGGCATGAAGTGGGGCCACGAGGCCATCGAGGCCAACTCCCAGTACTTCCATTTGGCCGCCTGGGCCGTGCCGGCCGTCAAGACCATCACCATCCTGGCCATGGGGCAGATCGATGGCGACCTGCTGAGCGGCGTCTGCTTCGTGGGCCTCAACAACATCGACCCTCTGCGGGGCTTCGTGCTGGCCCCGCTCTTTGTCTACCTCTTCATCGGCACCTCCTTCCTGCTGGCCGGCTTCGTGTCCCTCTTCCGCATCCGCACCATCATGAAGCACGGCGGCACCAAGACGGAGAAGCTGGAGCGGCTCATGGTGCGCATCGGCGTCTTCAGCGTCCTCTACACCGTGCCGGCCACCATCGTCATCGCCTGCTACTTCTACGAGCAGGCGTTCCGCGAGCACTGGGAGCGCAGCTGGATCAGCCAGAACTGCAAGAGCCTGGCCATCCCCTGCCCGCTGCACTTCACCCCCCGCATGACCCCCGACTTCACTGTCTACATGATCAAGTATCTCATGACTCTGATCGTGGGCATCACCTCCGGCTTCTGGATATGGTCRGGGAAAACCCTGCACTCCTGGAGGAAGTTCTACACTCGGCTCACCAACAGCAAGCAGGGCGAGACCACGGTGTGACGCCCTTCGGCCTGAAATTTTTAAATTTTTTTTTTGTGTGTGGGGGGGAGTTATATATTTTTTATTTTTAGATTTATTAACGTCTAAGGGGTGTCTCTTTTTTTTTTTTCTCTTGGAATTTTTTTTTTTTTTTTGTAATTAAACCTGTAAATAGCATTTGTAAATTTAATGATATATTTGTATTTAAAAAGGTGAAAAAAAAAGGGAGGGAAGATAGGAGGAGAGGGAGGGAGGGATAGGAGGAAAAGGAGGGGGGGAAATGGGAGAAAACAGAGGAAAAGGGAGAAAACAGAAAAAGGGAGTTAAAAAGGGGGAAAGGGAAGAAAAAAGAGGAAAAGGGAGTAAAAAAGGGGGAAAGGGAAGAAAAAAGAGGAAAGGAAAAAAGACCGGAGGAATTGAGGGAAAAATAAGCAGGAAAGGGAAAAAAGTAGAAAAGCAAGGAAAAAAGGGGAAAATGAGTGAATAAAGGAGGAAAGGGAGGAAAAAAGTGGGAGAAAAAGGAGGAGAGCAGGAGAAGAGGGAGGAAAACAGAAAAGGGCGGAAAAAAGGAGAAAATGAAAGAAAAAGGARGAAAAAAAGGAGAGAAAAGATAAAAAAGAAGGGGTAAGGAGAAAAGAGAGGAAAAAATGAGGGGAGAAAAAGGATCGGGTCAAAAAGATAAAAAGATGGGAAAAGGGAGGAAAAACAGGAGAAAAAGGGAAAAAACATTGCCGAGCTTGGGAGAGGACCCTCGCCCCCCTGCTCCCCCTTCCCGGCTCCCCCTGGCCGCTGCTCTGCCGGCCCCTGGAATAAAGGGTGAAAAAAGGCCAAAAAACTCAATAAAAAGCCCATTTTTCTCGCTCTCCTTTCGAAACTCCCCAAGAAAGTGGATTTTTTTTTCTTCCCCACCCTTTTGCTCTCATGAGACCCAGGGCTGGGGCTGCCCCCCTGCGGGGCTCTCCCTGACCGACCCCCCCACTCTTGGCCGATGACTTTTCCTCCCCAAAASCCTTTTTGAACAATCCTTCCCAAATACAAACGAGTCAAAAAACACTAGATTTTGACTTGGAGGGATTTTTTTTCCCCAAAAAATTAAATTGGGGGGGTCCCCATGGATTCTGTGGGRTCCCCTGGCTTCCACCACCCTGTGGGGATGAGCCAGCGCCTCCCTCCAGCAGGAACAAAGGGAAAAAAAGAGATTTTTAACCGCAAAAAATAAGGAATTTTTCAGTTTGCRGTGGGAGGGGGTCCTCTCCTGTGCCCCCCCCCCGGGAGGAAATAGCTCACATTTTCTTTGGGATTAGGGGTTTGGCTGGGGTGGGCCCCCGATCCCGAGGCGCTGTAAGAGAAGCGGGTCCCGACTCTGGTTCTGTTCTTTAGGATTTGGGGGATTCTGGAGGGGGGATTTAGGAGAGTTTCAGCTGGAGGGGGACAAGCTCAGGGCGGGGAGGGAGGGGGGGAAGGATGGATTTAATCAGCTGGATTTAATTGGAATGAAAAAAAAAAATCCTCTTCCCAAAATGGAGAGGGAGACCCGGCCGGGAAGCGCCGGCCCCCAGGGGAGCCCCAAAAACAGCCCCGRGGAGCCTCAGCGCCTCATTCCGGGGTATTTGGGGTTCCCTGGAATGCGAAGGGGGATTGTGGGGGGGATTGCGCCTTCCCCCTTCCCCCACCAAAGCCGGGCAAATTCCCCAAACCCCCTTAAAAATGCCGATCCCGCGATGAGGGCGAGGCGGGAGCTGAAGGGGTTAAGGCAGCGCCTCTCCAGCACATTTTGGAAAGGAAAAACTCTTTGGATCCGGTTTAATTTTCCAGCGATGACTTGGAAGGGGGAGAGGAGAGGGGGAGAAACTTATCCGGGGCTTTTTTTGCTCCCCCCTCCTCTGTGGTTTGGAGGAGCCGMTCCAGGGTCGGGCTGGGCTGGTCGGGACCCCCACTCCCCTCCCCAGCACCCCCTTGGCACCCACGGCACCCCCCTGGACACCCCAGCAGCCTTGGACACCCCCGCCTTGGGAGCCTCGGGAAATGGGATTTTCAAAGGGGATGGTCCTTGCTGTGGGGACACGAACAGGATGAGCCTTGGGGTCGGGGGACCCCTCCTGCACCCCTCAATTCCCACCCCAACGCTGCCACCTCGGGGGGGGGGGGTTCCCCTTTTGTGGGGTCCCCATTGCCCTGGGGGTCCCGGGTCGCATGCAACCCCCTCTTTGGGTGCTTTGTCTTTGGGCTGCTGCCYCTTTTGGGGCTGGAGGGTCGCGCACCCCAAAAGCAGCGGTTCGCCCCGAGGCCGCAGTGTTTGGCGGAGGCGCAGCGAGGCTCGGGCCGGGGGAATGTAAACTCTCCACCCAGGAATGCGGGAGCTGCCAGAGGAGGTTTTTTTTTTTGTTTTTTTTTTTAACGAGGCTTCGTGTCCCGGCTTTGGAAAACAGAGCCGGGATCGGGGATGGCCGGGGCGGCTGCTCCGCGGTGCCGAGGGTACCCCACGGTACCCACAGGGGATCTCGGGGCCCCTCCCCGGCCCCGCGGGCTCCTGCGATGGGGTTGSGAAGGAGGAACTGGGCCAGATCTGTGCCATGTGGCCCTTCCCAAGCAGTTTGGGGGGGGGTTGGAGGATTTTGGCTCTCGGGGCTGTTTGCAGCCTCAGTGCGAGGAGCTGGAGGTGTCACTGTGTGTCCCCTCTGTCCCCTGCTCTGTCACCCCAGGGGTGGGGCACTCTGGGACACACCGGGGACAGGTCACCCCAAGGACGGATCTCACCGGGAATGGGTCACCCCGGGGACAACTAACCCTGGGTACAGGTCTCCATGGGAATGGGTGACCCTAAGGGTGGGAATGGGTGACCCTAAGGGTGGGTGGCCCCAGGAACAGGTCACCCCTTTCACCCCAAACCCAGCTAAGCCCAGTGGCACGTCACCCCACGTCCAAGTAACCCTGGGGACAAATTACCCAGAGAATGGTTGTCCCCAGGCCACAGGGACCGGGGACAGAGATGGGGACAGGGGACAGGGATGGGGACAGGGGACAGGGATGGGGACAGGGGACAGGGACAGGGATGGGGACAGGGGCCTCCCCGCTGTGCACGGCTGTCCCCAGCCCTCCCAGGCCAGTGAGTCCCACTCTCCTCTCCCCTTTCCAAGCCGAGCAAACGCCAGTGGGTGGGGCCGTGTCCCCGCCCGGCCGTGCTGGGGGTCCTTTGATGTCCCGTAAYGAGCCCCGCTCTGTTGTCACAGCTGCCACCGCCGCGGGAGTCACTTAACGCCCAAACCCAGAGCGCCCGCGACCCATCACACCAGTGCCACCAGTGCCACCAGTGCTCCCGGGGCTCGTCCTGCTGGGGGTGGGGACAGGGGGGTGACAGCCCCGGGGGTGAAACCGCTGCAGGGACGAGAGTGACGGCGGAAGGAGCTGTGAGAACGGCGGCTCATGGCGTGTCCCCAGCGCCGGTTGTCCCCGTGCTCCTGGGTCCCAGGCCGTGGTCACTTCTGTCCCCTGCCACTGACTGTCCTGTCCCCTGGACCGTGGGCTGCCCTGGCCACAGGCTCTCCTGTCCCCTGTGCCCCCTGTCCCCTGGGACTGTCCTGTCCCCTGTCCCCAGACTGTCCCTTTCTCAGCCCCGGGTGACAATTCCCTCATGACAGTGGGGTCCATCTCCTCCCCCCCTCCGTCCCGTCCCCTTCCCTGCCACTGCCCTTCTCGTCCCGGTCCCCAGCAGTGACACGAGGGTGGCAGAGGGAGGTGACAGGGAGCAGGGAGGTGACAAGGGATATCTGTGCTACACTTCACATGTCCCCGTGATCGCTCGGCAGGACAGGTCCCGAGACTCYGTGGGGACATCTCTGGCTGTCCCCCACTCCTGGCCTCGTGTCCCTTCACCCCACGGGGACAGAGCCAGCCCGGACCCGAAGGACCAGCACCCAGTGGGTGTCTCCGCCCCCCCCAGCCCCGTTGTCCCCCCCGGGCGGGCGCTGGAGCGGGATCTGGCCGCGGCCGAGGCCGAGTCCTGGCCGGACGCCAGCGGGGACAGGCGGCCGGCGGCTGAATTCGGCTCCGGCCGACCCGCTCTTAAAGGAGACGGAGCCGCTGGGAGCTGCGGGGCTGCGGGGTTGCGGGGAGGGAGCTGCAAGGTGGCACCGGGCATTTTGGAGGGCCCTGGCGAGGGTGGGGCTCTCCCAAGGTGCAGGGACCTGTCGTGTCCCCATCCCGCCCTGGTGTGCAGGGTGGGTGTGGGGTCCATCCCCATCTCCATCCCCAGAGCCATGTGGGATCCCGGGTCTGGACGGGGCCACCCCTGAAGGGCAGAGGAGTGGGGAATGTGGGGTCACTTCCACATCCCAGTGTCCTCATGGAGAGTTGGGATCAGTGGGTGTGATGGGCTGTGTCAGTCCATTGGAAATATGGGACACGTGGATGTGGTGCTGTGGGTCCATCCCAGCACCCCTTCTGCGGGACGGGACGGAGGGTGGGTGGGCATGGGACCCCATCCCCATCTTGATGCACCTCCTGGAAAAGCTGGGATGGGGACCCCAACAACATCCAGGGCCCATCCAGAGAATGTGGGGTGGATGGACAAGGGATGGGTGGACATGGATGGATGGACAGGGATGGGGTGGGTGGACACTGATGGTGGACAGGGATGGGATGGATGGACAGGGATGGGATGGGTGGACACCATGGTGGACAGGGATGGGATGGATGGACAGGGATGTATGGACACGCCACCCCGAGCCCCCTTCCCGCTCTGTCCCGTGGGGCTCTGCCCGGGGCTGCCCCTTGGCCACGCGGTCCCACAGCTGCCCCGGCCGGGGGAGGGTCTGGCCGGGGGGTCCAGCGGGGCTCCGAGGGAAGGTCTGGCCAGGGGAGGATCCGGCCGGGGGAGAGTCCGGCCGGGGGCCCAGGGGAGGCTCCGGGGGAGGGTCCGGCCGGAGAGCCCGGGGAAGGATCAGGGGAGGGTCCGGCCGGGGGGCCCAGGGAGGGTTCAGGGGAGGGTCCGGCCGGGGGGCCCAGAGGGGGTCCGGGGGAGGGTCCGGGCGGGCGCGGGGGCGGCTCCGGAGGCGGCGGCGGCTCCGGGTGCGGGAATGTTTGTGCAGCTGGAGCCGATTATGGGGCGGGAGCGGGAGGGGGGAGAGAGGGAGCGGGGCGGGGCGGGGGAATGAGGGGGTCGTGCAAGGGGGAGAGGGATGTGCAGGGAGAGCGGAGCGCGTGTGCGGGGTGCAGCACCCGCGTGGAGGGTCCCTAGGGACCCCCGGCACCCCCTGCACGCGCGGGGTGCCACCCACACCGACCTGCGCAAACCCCACACGCCAGGGACACGCAGGGACACGCCAGGGACATGCCAGGGACACACCAGGGACACGCAGGGACACACATTCACACCCTCGGGTGCCCCTCAGAGGCTGGGTGTCCCCCCCCCCCACACTGGGGTCTCCAGCCTGATCCCAGCACTGTCCCACCGGGAGCACTGGGAGCACTGGTTCCTGTGCTCACTCCGGTCCCTCAGGGCTCCAGCCACACTTGGGGCCGGGGAGGTTTAACGGTCACTGACTGCCCCTGCCCTGGCTGCGGGCTCCAGGAGCCACCGCTGCGGGGACATTGGGGGTGACCCCTCACCTCTGCCCAGTGCACCCCCTCCCCCCCAAATCCAGCTCCGGTTGCCTGTCTGGAGATGGAACAAGAGGAACCCGAGGGGACGGGGATAAATTGGGAATGCCCCTCCCCCCATGGCACCATGGCACCATCCCTGGGGTCATCTGTTAGAGGACACCCCAAAAAACAGCAACCCCCCCGACCTCCAAGCAGGGTTTAACCCCTGCACTGCCAGGGCCATTGCCTCATCCCCSCTCCCTGTTTCTGCTGCTTTTACCCCAAAACAGCCAGGTCAGCTTGGACAAATTATTCCCTTGGCAAAAAGCCCCACTTTTAATTAATTATTAATTATTTTTATTAGTTAATAAAGGAGAAGAAATCACCCGCCAGCATGGCAAATGACCATGGTTGCCTTTGCCTCTTCTGGGATGGATGGATGGATGGATGGATGGATGGATGGATGGATGGATGGATGGATGGATGGATGGATGGACGGATGGACAGACAGATGGGCAGCCAGATCATGTCTCTGCCTGCACCATCCTGTGCCTTCTGGGTTTCAGGGTTGAATGTTTGGTTCAAAACCTGTTAAATGCTCTTTTTTGGGGTGGATTCATTAATTCAGGCTGGGCAGACTCTCTGGAATTCCAGGATGTGCCTGGCACACACAGGSCACTGCTCACAGGCCCCGGGGAACACCCAGAGCTCCCGGGCTTTTCCTTCATCAAAATCCCTCCTTGAAGTCTCTTGTTGGGGCTTTTATGCATTATYCCTCTATTTTTGATGTTTTTTTAAGGCAGTGATTGAGGCACACAGGGCTGGATCCATCCCRGTGCCGCAGGACCTGTCTGCCATCAGTGGGATGAGTCGGGAGCGGGGTCAGGGTCTCGGTGTCAGTGATCCCAGTGTCTGCTTCCCAGCTTTTCCCAGCTCAGGGAGGCAGAGCTGGGGATGGAATGGCTGCCCAAACACCCCCGACCCCTCAAACATCATCGGTCGGGCACCAAAACTTGTCTGTGAATGAAGGGAGAAGTCACAGCTCCCTGTGCCCATCCCCAGAGCTGGCACTGGGTGATCCCATTGTGCTGGGAGCAGTGGCACACCGGGGCTCTGTTTTTTTTCCCCATTTCATATAAAACTGACCCTTTAAGGCATTAAATCTGCTTTTGCAGTGGCAGAAAGGTGCTGGTCTGAGGGATCCTTGTCCTGGCTTGCTGGGGACCAACAGAAGCAGGGTGGGTTCGGCCATGGGTCAGTTTGGGGAGCTCACAGTGGTTTGGGGGGCTCTTTTCTGACCAGCTGAGGGTGCAAGGCTGTGTTTCCCCCCAGCCCAGCCCATCTGCAGCTGCTGGAGAAGGAAAAGGGGAGGTGTGGACAGGGGGGGACACAACGGGAGGGGCCTTTTCCACCGTGTCCTGTGGGTCCGGGAGGGGAATGGGGACAGGATCCTCCTCGGGGAGACAGGGACAGGATCCTCCTCGGGGGGACAGGGACAGGATCCTCCTCGGGGAGACAGGGACAGGATCCTCCTCNCGGGGAGACAGGGACAGGATCCTCCTCGGGGGGACAGGGACAGGATCCTCCTCGGGGGGACAGGGACAGACAGGGTCCTCCTCGGGGGGACAGGATCCTCCTCGGGGGGAATGGGGACAGGATCCTCCTCGGGGGGACAGGGACAGGATCCTCCTCGTGGGGACAGGGACAGGATCCTCCTCGGGGGGACAGGGATGCCGTGGGACCCCCCCAGCAGGACGTGGCCACCCACGTGGTCCCCAAACTCCAACCCGCCCCAGCCCCGGGTTCAGCGGGTGCTGCCCCGGTGCCCCGSACCCCGCACAGGGTGCGCTCAGGGCCCCTCGATCTGATGTCCCCCGCTCCTTCCCGGGGACGGCATTCCCGGGAGTCCCACGGGAGAGACCGCGACCTCCCGGCCACGCCCCTTGCTGGCCACGCCCACTCACAGACCACGCCCTATCAATTACGACACCCCGTCTCATAGACCACGCCCACCTCCCCAGGGCGTCTTTCCCGCCCATTTCAAAGCCCCGCCCCCTCCTCAGGCCCCGTCCCTTCCCGCGGCCCACGAGCGCTTTGCCAGACCACGCCCCCCGCCCTCACATCGCTATCTGACCACGCCCCCGCATTAAAACCACGCCTTCCAGCACAGGCCACGCCCCAATCTCTATAAATACTCCCGGCGCAAACCCCGCTGAAAGCCCCGCCCCCTCCACCCCGCCCCTTTCCAGACCACGCCCATCCGAGCCCGAACCACGCCCCCTGCCCCATGCGCATGCGCCTTTCCTCGAACCCGCCCTTAACCCCGCCCCCTCCGCAGTCCCCGCCCCTTCCGCCGTCCGCGCGCCGGGACTGCAGTTCCCAGCATGCCGCGCGCGCGGAAGAGGCGTGGCCGCGGCGCCGCTTCCGTGCTGGCGGCGAGGCGGAGGAGCGGCAAGATGGCGGCGGCGGCGGTG